TATTGTCTGTATCCCTGGGTTATGCATATATGCATATAAGTTCTTTGATTAATCTCTCCCCACCCACTCCCCCACCCCCAACATGTATAGCAGAACTAATCTGTTTAATCAATACCTATATTCTCTTCTGATCAACACAATAACATTAAAACCCTATACTCCAATCTCCTCTCCTTCACATTTTGTGTTATCATTGTCCAATATCTTAGTTCAATCTTTTATTCAACTGACAAAATTAATCTTCTTTAACTACCAAAGCTTATAAAGATAAATGGCATGTTTAATGACTTTTCTGCCCACCACAGTTTCTTTTTAAAAAATTTATTCATTTATTTTATAATAAATAAAATACAAGTACACTAATCAAAATTATATAGTTTGATAATATGTATATTTGTGTTGATACATATATACATATATATATATTTCCATAGTCACACACAAGTAAGAATATGAAAAAATTTCAGCACCCCATAAGGTACTCTCATGCTCTTTCACAGTCTATACTCCAAGTGGTAATCAATTTTCTATCTCATAATCAATTATTTTTGTATACTTTGAACTTTGTACAAATAAAATACAGTACATATTCTTTTATCTCTGGCTTTTCTTCAATCACCACATTATCTATAAAGAGTGATCCAAGTTGTTTAAATACCACTTAGTTTCAGTTTTACATGATATACCTTTTTCTATCCTTTCAGTTTCAATCTGTGTTCTTATATATAAAGTGTAACTCTAATAAAAATAATTCAAATCTATTTTAATACAGTATGAAAATATTTGTTTTTTAAATTGAGTGTTAAACCATTTACATTTAAAGCAATTGTTGATATAGTTGCATCTATATTATTTTTACAGCATTAGTTTCCTCTTTGTTTAGTCTGTTCTTTATTTATTCCAAATTCTTGCTCTTTTTGGATTACACATTTGCATATTCCACAGTTTTTCATCTATTAGGTTTCAACTTATGTCATATTTCACTATTTTTCCATGGTTTCTCTAGAGCAGGTTTCTGAAGTGTGGTTTAGGAAACTCTGTCTCCAGTGATCTTTCAGGGGATTTATTAGGTCAAAATTATTTTCATAACAACATTAAGAGTATTTGCATTTTTTACTCTCATTTGTGATTAGTATAGTGTATTCCAGAGAGTTATGCCATGTCTTATCACAATATAGTAAATGCAGAAGCAATCTGTCTATCCAAAGAACAAACTGATGATTGCCAGGTGGGAAGGGGGTTGGTGAGAATGGGTAAAAAAGGTGAAAGGAATTAAGAAGTACATATTACCAGTCATAAAAATAGTCACAGGGATGTGAAGTACAGCTTAGGGAATACAGTCAATAATATTGTAATTACATACGGTGTCAGGCTTAATGGGTGGATCATCTTGTAAGTTATAAAAATGTCTAGCTGCTATGCTTTATAGCTGAAACCATGATATTAAAAGTCAACTGTAATTGAAAAATAAATAAATATATAAATAAATAAATAGATTTTAAAAGAGCATAATGCCCTCGCCAGTGTGGCTCAGTTAGTTGAGTGTCCTCCCAAGCACTGAGAGGTCACTGGTCCGATTCCCTGTTACGGCACATGCCTGGATTGCAGGCTTGATCCCCAGTAGAGAGTGTGTAGGAGGCAGCCCATTGATGGTTCTTTCTCTTATTGATGTTTCTCTCTCTCTCTCTCCCCCTTCCTCATTCTCTAAAATCAATAAAAAACATTTATAAAAAAGAGCACAAGTGTTGGCAAGGATGTGGATAAGTTGAAAACCTGGTATACTGTTGAAGGGAATGTAAAATAAAGCAGCTTCCATGGAGAAAAGTATAGAGTTTCTTCATAATTTAAAACAAGTTGATGATTGTCAAAGGGAAGGAGGCTGAGGAATTGGAACAAAGAAAAGGAAAAAGTGAGGTTATTTGGCATTACTTTCTTTTAGGAAATCAGTGATGCTTCTAGAGATCTCTTTATTTAAAAATTTACCTTTATTGTTGAAAACATTACAGATGTCTCCCTTTTTTCCCCCTTGATCCCTTCTCCCATACTATCTGTTAAATAATGTGCCATAGAATTTTTCCAAGAGCACGCATCAAGATCACTTACCCATAGTGCTTTTTCTCATTTTATTTTGAAAAACTTATTGCTCATTTACAGTTGACATACAGTATTATTATATTTCTTTCAGTTCTATAACATAGAAATTAGATATTTAGATAATTTATGAGGTGCTATCCCTAATAAATGTAGTATCCACCTGACACCATACATATTTAGTAAAATATCATTGATGAAATTCCCTATGTTCTACTTTACATCCTTGTGACTATTTGTATAACTGGCAGTATTTATTTCTTAATCCCTTTCACCTTTTTCATTCACCCACCCAATCCCCTCCAATCTGGAGGCCATCAATCTGTTCTCTGTATCTATGAGTTTCTCTTTTGTTTAGTAGGTTATTTTGTTTCTTAGATTCCACATATAAGTTAAATCGTATGGTATTTTTCTTTCTCTATCTGACTTATTTCACCTAGCATAATGCCCTGTAGATCCATTCAAGTCTCAAATGGCAAGATTTCATTCCTTTTCATGGCTGAATAATTTTCCATTGTATGTACCTCATATTCTTTATCAATGTGTCCAATGACTGAAAACTTGTGTAGTTATTTTGTTTTGTTTTTTTAAATATTTTCTTTATTGTTGAAAGTATTACAGATGTCCTCCCTTTCTTCCCCATTGAACCCCTCCACCAGGCATCCACCCCTGCCCACCCCAGGTCTTCTGCACACTATTGTCTGTGTTCACAGGTCATGTATATATGCATTTAAGTTCTTGATTAATCTCTCCTTCCCAATCCCCACCCTCACCTTCCCTCTGAAATTCGTCTGATTGCTCTGTGGTTCTATTTCTCTGTATCTATCTTGTCCATCAGTTCATTTTGTCCATCAGATTCCACATTTGAGTGAGATCATGTGGTACTTGTCTTTCTCTGATTGGCTTATTTCACTTAGCATAATCCTCTCCAGATCCATCCATGCTGTTCTAAAGGGTAAAAATATCCTTTTTTATAGCTGCATAGTATTCCATGGTATAAATGTACCACAGCATTTTTATCCACTCATCTACTGATGGGAACTTGGGTTGTTTCCAGATCTCAGCTATTCTAAATCATGCTGCTATGGACAAAGGGGTGCATAAATTCTTTCTGACTGGTGTTTTGGGTTTTTTAGGATATATTCCTAGAAGTGGGATCACGGGGACCAATGGCAATTCCATTTTTAATTTTTTGAGGAACATCCATACTGTTTTCCATAGTGGCCACACCAGTCTGCATTCCCACTAGAAGTATATTAGGGTTTCCTTTTCTCCACATCCTCACCAGCACCTGTCATTTGATGATTTGTTGATGGTAGCCATTCTGACAGGTGTGAGGTGATATCTCATTGTTGTTTTAATTTGCATCACTCTGATGAGTAGTGACTTCGAACATTTTTTTATATGTCTCTTGGCCATCTGTATTTCCATTTTGGAGAGGGTGTATTTAGGTCTTTTACCCATACTTTAATTAAATTGTTTGTCTTCTTTTTGTTAAGTTGTATGAGTTCCTTATATATTTTGGAAATTAACCCTTTATCAAATATATCATTGGCAAATATGTTCTCCCATACTGTGGCCTACCTTTTTGTTTTGTTAATGGCTTCTTTCACTGTGCATACGCTTTTAATTTTGATGTATCATTCTTCAACATAAAAAAGGCAATAAATATATGACAAACTTACAGCCAACATCATATGCAATGGGCAAAAACTAAAACCATTTCCCCTAAGAACAGGAACAAGACAGGGACGTCCACTTTTACCACTCTTATTCAACATAGTACTGGAAGTCCTTGCCAAAGCTAACAGACAAAAAGAAACAATAAAAGGAATTCAAATTGGAAAAAAGGCAGTAAAACTGCCATTATATGCAGACTACATGATATTGTACATAGAAAACCCTTAGGAGTCCACCAAAAAAACTACTAGGTTTAATAAATGAATTAGGCAAAGTAGCAGGATACAAAATTAACACCCAGAAATCCCTGGCATTTTTATACAGTAATAGTGAGCTCACAGAAAGGGAAACTAAAAAAGCAATATCATTTACCATTGCAACAAAAAAATTAAGATACTTAGTAATAAACCCAGTGAAGGAGATAATAGACTTGTATGTGGAAAACTACAGGACTTTGAAAAAAGAGATAGAGGAAAATATA